GATCCTCGTCACAAAGTGAGGATTCCTTCCTTAAAAAAATAGGCCCAGCAGAAATGCTCTTTATCCCTCAGTTTAGTAAAATGGCTCAGACTTTTCTTCCCTTATATTTCTTAATTCCTTCAAATGACAATTATTTAAGGTGGTACAATACACATTCATTCAATAAAATCTAAATGGAAAGCTACACTTGAGTATGCTGGGTTAATAAAACAGTTCTCTGGGTTATGGTCATATTCAGGAAGCAGAGAATTCATCTCAACATGATGCAACAGATGGAAACGGGCAGTTTCCAGCAGGCATGGTTCCTTCCTGAATTAGGCAATCTAGTCTATGTGGATTTCTTTTCTTTTTTTTTTATAAAACAGTTCTCTGGGTTATGGTCATATTCAGGAAGCAGAGAATTCATCTCAACATGATGCAACAGATGGAAACGGGCAGTTTCCAGCAGGCATGGTTCCTTCCTGAATTAGGCAATCTAGTCTATGTGGATTTCTTTTCTTTTTTTTTAAGCCCCCCAAGGGGGGAATTTTTTTATTTGCATTTCTATAAAACTACAACAGAAATTGGGGAGGGAAAATCTACAATCCATAGGAAAAAGTAAAGAAAACCTAACTAAAAACCCAAGAATGGAGGTTATTCAATGCTTAAAACAGTTATTACTCTTATACATTTGCTTTCAAACATGAAGAGTGCCCGCCAATCATCGCTTCTGTTGACAAAACCTGCTTATCTGACTGAACAGAGAGTAGTTCCAAAGCTATAATGCAATAATTACAGCCCTTAAGAAAAGTTTAGCATCCCCACGCTTTACTCCCCCCCCCAGCATCTTTTAAAACCAATGTTCCCTCAGTAAGAACATTACAACACGTTTTTCTTCTTCTGTCTTCGATGTATCTTCTTTCCTCAATTATCTTTTAGTTTCTATAAGTCCGGATCTGTCAATTCATGATATGAACCAAGTTCCTCTTTTCCTGGGAGATCTTTGCTTCCTTAGATCAAAAGAGTCTTTCCTTTTGTTGCAATTACAACACGCTCATTGGAGATTCTAACCTTTCTCTTAGCAAGCAGACCATATAAAGTTAGGGGAGCGAACCCTTTACTCCAAAGATACCGCTTTTCGATTAGCTTGCCATTCCAGCCACAAAAAACTAAACTTAGAATCTCCTTGTCATTCATATATCTCTATGATCCACGTACTGTCCCTTTAAAAGTGTAGCTGCTTTTAGTACAGATCCAGATCGCTTCTCACTTTAGCCACCAGAGGGCCCACGATCACTTTAAAGACAGAGTCTGTGGTTAGGTCACAACCTAACTTTCCGCTGTCTCCTTTCTGAAGAAGCCAAATTCAGACCTTTGGCTACGAAGCTTAGTCTATCAAGGACAGGTCCCATAGGAGATATGGTCCAAGGAAATAAGGGCTAGTCCCTATATTAAAGGTAGCAACTCTAGAGAAGTATCTTAAAAACCAGGAAAATACACATATTAAGAAAACTTATATACAACATCAGTTAAGCTGCTTATGAGGAAGTCACTAGACGAAACCAAGTGTAAGCCGGCTGCTTCGTCAAGCTCCAGTAGCTTTTAGCTCATTAAGCCTTATACTTTTTTGACTGCCAACAGTAACTGTTTAGGAATTCCACTGTTATCTTG